AGGGTAATGCCCACTTTTGGTGTATGTCAAAAATTCTGGAAATCCCCGAAATCTGGTTTAGCCTGCTTGTCCTTAACAGCGACCACATATGTATGGAGGCGACAACTTTTCTTTTGCTTTCACCCTTTTCTTTCTGAGTCATGTGCATCAAGGTTTGCACATGCAGCATAATAAAGTTTATTCAAGTGAGATCATTAAAATAAAACCGTTTAGTATAATATTTCCACTCATTTAAGAAGAAACAACAAACAGCTGTGCAGTCGTAATTACGACTACTTATATTATTTATCCCCCCCCTCCCACTAGACATAATGGCAAAGAATCCGTTTTGGAGAATAGATCTAAAACACCTACACAGCAGTTTGTTAGCTTGTTTGTTCGTTTGTTTGATTGTTGATTTTTTGGGTTTATTTATTGGCTTGGCTATTTGTTTGTTTGTTTGTATATTTGTTTGAGTAAAGAAAAGAACATCGTCACAATCACAGTCATTTAGTGCTGGGAAAAAGTAAGACAGACAGACAGAAACAACATAGGGTAAGTAAAGAAGTAAGGCCTATCCATCTATCAGGGCCGCCATCCATCATCATCATAATCCATGCCTTGCCTACTGGCGTGGGCGATCATGGACCTCCACTCGTCTTCACCCCGTCCTGAGCCGCAGCAATGGTGTCTGTTGTTCTTGCTGCTCCTAACCATGTTGTCATCTTGTCCAGTATCTTTTCCCTCTGTCTGCCTCTGCCTCTCTTTCCATCCAACAACCCGCTTAATTAAACACAGCAGTGAAGAGGTTAATATATAGTATTAGGAACTGAGCCTGTGCCCCCGAGCGGTGGCACCTGCGCTGTCGCTGTCTACTGTCTGGGCTGTAAGAAAGAGAACTGCACATGGGTTTTTCACCTGCACTCAGTGAAAAGTGATACTGATATATTCCCCGCGCCAGTTTGGCAATTTTTATCAAACTTTTATTATTTTGGCTCAACACCTTCTATGTTAATTTAGGAACACATTTCTGTGCAGATTTTTTAAAAGCTGGAAAACGTTGATTAAAGGCTAAGAAATGTAAATTTGTAGTTCCCAAGGACTATTGTGTTGTAAGTGCCTTAAAACACTTACTAAAGTAAAAAACAACAAAACAACAAAACAAACAAACCAACGTGTCACCCCCACTAGACATAGTGGCAGTGAATCAGTTTGGGAGAATAAAACATCTACGCAGCAGTTTGTTACCTTGTTTGTTCGTCTGTTTCCTTGTTTGTTTGTTTGTTTATTTAATCCTATCAGCGCAGCCCTCCAACCACCCGCTTAATTAAACACAGCTGTGAAGAGGTTTATATTGGTATTAGGAACTGAACCTGTGCCCCGAGCATGACACCTGCGCTGTCTACTACCTGGGCTGTAAGAAAGAGAACTGCACCCAGGTTGTCACTTGCACACAGGGGAATGTGATATCTTCCCGTGAGTTTGTCAATTTTTATCGAAATTTTGTTATTTTGACTCAACACCTTCTACGTCCATTTAAAAACAGATCTTTGTGCTGATTTTAAAAAAGCGAAAAACGTTGATTTAAAGGCCTAGAAATCTAAGTTTGTACTTCCCAAAGACTCTCAAACTATGTTAGTCATAAAACTTTGGCGGCCATTTTCTCGCTAACTTTACCTCTGCAATCAGACGACCCGACCTCCTTTAACTGCGAAAATCTTGATTACTATTAAAGGAAGATGAATGGGTTTTTTTCATCGAAAGCAAGACAATTTAACTAGCTGTAAGATGATACCAACAACTCCACTTGAACAAAAATTGACCAGCTCCTAATTCCACGGTGGCGTCGTAATACATATGGTCGTTTTTAAGGACAAGCGGGCTAACCCAGATTTTAGGGATTTTTCAGAAATCTTGACGAACATCAAAAGTGGATATTGCCCTTTCTATAGGAGAAGTTTGGTTTCATTGGTATGTATTGTTTGATTATTGAGAAAACTCTCCTTGTCTTGTAAAGAAAATGAACAAAGGGTAAAAACCTTACCTTCGATTTTCTCAAAACAGCATTTTTCGGGATAGCCCCCTTGTGCTTAAAAGCGACCATAATAATATTTTCCCACAGGGCCGAGCCAAACGTGGAAGAGAGCCCCGAGAACACCTCAAACTTTGTACGCTCAAAGAACGCTCGTTGGAGATTCTTACCAGAGTCACCTGCATTATAGTTCAGTGTATAAGCAAGGAGATTATACAGTAATGGAAGGTCCTTGGTGTAATTTAGCCTACTGGGCTATTGGCGCGTTCGCAGCAAATGGACCTTCTGGGGAAGTGGGAAAACGTATTTTCCTTTCGAGTCCTTTTCTTTTTCTTCACATTAGTCCATTTCCCCCCTTCTTTCTCTCCATATATATCTATGTCTCTGTATGTTTGTCTATCTATCGGTCTGTCTGTCTGTCTGTCTGTCTGTCTGTCTGTCTGTCTGTCCGTCTGTCTGTCTGTCTGTCTGTCTGCCTCTCTCTCTCTCATACACACACACACATACTCACAAACACGCACACACAGAAACACTCACCCAAACACACTTCGACCCACAACACTCACACCCACTCACACTCACAAACCCAACCTGGGGATATCATCTCTGACTTCGAGGTTGACGTGTAATGACCCTCCACCCTTCATGGTCGTGAGCTACCGTTGCACATTCTGCCATATCCAGGCCCGTCCATGTTTTAATTGATGTTGTCCATCAATGTTACTTTTCGTCTTCCCCTGGCTCTCCTGCCCCACTTCATTCCTTTATCACAAAAGACTGATGTCAACACACACACCCATACAAACACACACACACACACACACACACACACACACACACACACACACACACACACACACACAAACACATACATTCATACACGTACAAATAGACATACTCTTGTACATACATTTT